AAATAAAAAATATATTAAAAATGAACAAACAAGCGGAATAGAAACAGACAAAAAAAAAAATCAGGGTCTCTTAACTTAAAACAGAAAGGTCCAGAATTCAACTGGAATTTGAATTCCTTTTCAAATTCTCCTCCTTTCCAAAATGAGGAGCCGGTGAAGCAAAATGGGCCCCCACACATACCTACCACAAGTCTGGGGCTGCAAAGTGGATCTGGGTGGGGATCTTTGGGAATCCTGATGCACTACACCAAGTAAATGTCAATGTAGGAAATATACAAACATGAAAGAATTTTTTAGTTTATTTGAGCCAAACTGATGACAATTGCCAGGAAGCAAAACCTCAACGGATTGAAAAAGGATCCAAAAAATAGCAGTTTTGCACATTATTTTATACATTACAATCAAAAGAGAAAACGAAGATGTAAGTGGGTTACATTGAAATCCATTGGTGAAAGATTAGGACAGTGGGAGAAAGCAAAGGTTGGGGGAACCTCTGGGATTGGCTAAACAGTAAAATGACAGACACGTACTTCTTTTCCATAGGAGGGTACAGGATAGTTAACAGTCAACAATGAACATGATAACAGCAAGAACATGGGAACTTGTGGTCTCCCTCTGGTGCAGTGCCTGTGCTATGAGGGGGTCCAAAAAAGGAAATTTTTATAATTTATTTTTTCTTTAGATTTTTATTTACTTATCTTTAGAGGGGAAGGGAAGGAGAGAGGGAGAGTAATATCAATGTATGGTTGCCCCTGGTGCATCCCCTGCTGGGAACTGGCCTGCAACCAGGGCATGCTCCCTGACTGGGAATTGAACCGGCCACCCTTTGGTTCTCAGGCCAGCAATCAGTCCACCAAGCCACACCAGCCAGGGCCAAAAAAGGAAATTTGACATTCCAAAAATATGTCATCATCAATGCAAAAAAGACAATAGACAGGCTCAATTAAGGTAAAGATTGACTTTAGTCAGGGAAGATTCTAGCCTAAGGCATGACTGCCTGCCATGACCTGCTTTTAGTTAGAAAACTTTTCATTTCAGACCATCCTCTGTGGCTACTCTGGGTCTCGAGTATATAAGGCCCCCCTGCAAGCCTCCCCTGAGCTGTCAGGTTTAGTATTTGGCCCCCTTTTGTCCACATCTCTACAAATTCATCCCTCCATCCTACCCTTTATCCATGGCAACCAATAATTTTTTATTTATTTATTTTTATTGATTATGCCATTACAGTTGTTCTATTCCCCCCTTCATTCCCTTCCACCCTACCCCCTGTCACCATTATTACCCCCCTTTAGTTTATGAGCATGTGTCTCAAGTTCTTTAGATTCTATATTTCCAATACTATTCTTGCCCCCCATCTATTTTCTATCTACTGTCTATGCTACTTATTTTCTGTACCTTCTCCCCCCTTCTCCTCCTCCCACTCCCCTGTTGCTAACCCTCCTTGAGATCCTCATTTCTATGTTTCCACTCCTGATCTAGCTGTCCTTTTAGTTTGCTTTTGTTTTAGGTGTGGTTGTTAATAACTGTGAGTTTGCTGTCCTTTCACTGTTCATGTTTTTTTTTAACTTCTTTTTCTTAGATAAGTCCCTTTAACATTTCATATAATAAGGGCTTGGTGATGATGAACTCCTTGAATTTGATCTTATCTGAGAAGCACTTTATCTGCCCTTCCATTCTAAATGAAAGTTTTGCTGGATAGAGCAATCTTGGTTGTAGGTCTTTGGATTTCCTGACTTGGAATACTTCTTTCCAGCCCCTTCTTGCCTGTAAGGTCTCTTTTAAGAAATCCACTGACAGTCTGATGGGAACTCCTTTGTAGGTGACTGTCCCCTTAGCTCTTGCTGCTTCTAGGATTCTCTCCTTCATTTCAATCTTGGCTAATGTAATTATGATGTGCCTTGGTGTGTTTCTTCTTGGGTCCAACTTCTTTGGGACTCTCTGAGCTTCCTGGATTTCCTGGAAGTCTATTTCCTTTGCCAGATTGGGGAAATTCTCCTTTATTATTCATTCAAATAAGTTTTCCACTGGTGGCTGTGCCTTTCCCCCTTCTGGTACCCCTATAATTCAGATGTTGGAGCATTTAAAGATGTCCTGGAGGTTCCTAAGACTCTCCTCATTTTTTGAATTCTTGCTTCTTGACTCTTTTCTGTTTGGCCATTATTTGCTTTCTCCTGGTCCACTCCATTGATTTGAGTCCCAGTTTCCTTTTCATTGCTATTGGTTTCCTGTGCAATTCCATTCATTTCAATTAGTTTCACCTTCATATATTTGTCTAATTTGTGGCTATAATCAACCAGATCTGTGAGCATCCTGATCACCAGTGTTTTAAACTGTGCGTCTGAGAGGTTTGCTATTTCTTCATTGCTTAGATTTATAGGTTCTGGGGCTTTGAGATCTTCTTGAGCCATTTTTGGTCTGTTCACGCCCTTTAAGTGTGAGGAGCGGAGCCTTGGACTCCCAGGTTGCTGGGTTGTGACACTGTATGTGGGGGCGTGGTCAGAGTGGGGAAATGGCGGCCCCCTCTGCTGTTTTGTGCTGCTGGGTGAGGAGCAGAGGGTTAGGTGGTTCACCTGGGCCGGGCCACTCAGAGTCGCTGGGTTATGACGCTGTATGTGGAGGTGGGGGTCAGAGCAGGGAAATGGCGGCGCCCTCCCTGCCACTAGCCACGGGGACCCAGTGGGTCCGGGTCCAATCGCCCACTCCCTCGCCTGTCTATCCGTGCACCAATGCGTGACCACAGTCAACCCGCAGCCCTGCTCCCTCGCTGTTTCCCCGCGGTTGCTCGCTTGGTCACTCGCTCGGTCGCCCACTAGGTCCAACCCTGCGCCTGGATTCCGCGTGCCTGAGTCTGTCCGACCGAGTTTTCCTGTGCAACCCCGCTCCACCAGCTGCTGGTTTCGCCCCTTACCGGTCAGGCTGAAGAATTTGTTTTTGGGACTTCCGCCAAGATGGAGGCATAGGTGGATAAGTCGTGCCTTCTCACACAACCAAGTTTAGAGACAATTAAATATTAGCAACAGAAAACACAGCCAGAACACAGAAAATTGAACTTTTCGGAAGTCTGTTAACAACAAATTCTTCAGCCTGACCGGTAAGGGGCGAAACCAGCAGCTGGTGGAGCGGGGTTGCACAGGAAAACTTGGTCAGACTGGCTCAGGCGCGTGGAATCCAGGCGCAGGGTTGGACCTAGTGAGCGACCGAGCGAGCGACCAAGCGAGCAATCGCGGGGAAACAGCGAGGGAGCAGGGCTGCGGGTTGACTGTGGTCACGCATTTGTGCGTGGATAGACAAGCAAGGGAGTGGGCGATTGGACCGGGACCCAGTGGGTCCCCGCGGCAAACAGCAGGGAGGGCGCCACCATTTCCTGGCTCTGACCCCACCTCCACATACAGTGTCACAACCCAGCAACCTGGGAGTCCAAGGCGCCACTTCTCACACTTAAAGGGCGCGAACAGACCAAAAATGGCACAAGAAGATCTCAAAGCCCCAGAGCCTATAAATCTAAGCGATGAAGAAATAGCAAAACTCTCAGACGCACAGTTTAAAACACTAGTGATCAGGATGCTCACAGAACTGGTTGATTATAGCCACAAATTAGACAAATATATGAAGGTGAAACTAATTGAAATGAATGGAATTGCACAGGAAACCAATAGCAATGAAAAGGAAACTGGGACTCAGATCAATGGAGTGGACCAGAAGAAAGCAAATAATGGCCAAACAGAAAAGAGTCAAGAAGCAAGAATTCAAAAAAATGAGGAGAGTCTTAGGAATTTCCAGGACATCTTTAAATGCTCCAACATCTGAATTATAGGGGTACCAGAAGGGGGAAAGGCACAGCCACCAGTGGAAAACTTATTTGAACAAATAATAAAGGAGAATTTCCCCAATCTGGCAAAGGAAATAGACTTCCAGGAAATCCAGGAAGCTCAGAGAGTCCCAAAGAAGTTGGACCCAAGAAGAAACACACCAAGGCACATCATAATTACATTAGCCGAGATTAAAATGAAGGAGAGAATCCTAGAAGCAGCAAGAGCTAAGGGGACAGTCACCTACAAAGGAGTCCCCATCAGACTGTCAGTGGATTTCTCAAAAGAGACCTTACAGGCAAGAAGGGGCTGGAAAGAAGTATTCCAAGTCATGAAATCCAAAGACATACAACCAAGATTGCTCTATCCAGCAAAACTTTCATTTAGAATGGAAGGGCAGATAAAGTGCTTCTCAGATAAGATCAAATTCAAGGAGTTCATCATCACCAAGCCCTTATTATATGAAATGTTAAAGGGACTTATCTAAGAAAAAGAAGTTAAAAAACATGAACAGTGAAAGGACAACAAACTCAGTTATTAACAACCACACCTAAAACAAAAGCAAACTAAAAGGACAGCTAGATCAGGCGTGGAAACATAGAAATGAGGATCTCAAGGAGGGTTAGCAACAGGGGAGTGGGAGGAGGAGAAGGGGGGAGAAGGTACAGAAAATAAGTAGCATAGACAGTAGATAGAAAATAGATGGGGGGCAAGAATAGCATGGGAAATATAGAATCTAAAGAACTTCAAACACATGGTCATAAACTAAAGGGGGGGTAATGGTGGGGACGGGGGGTAGGGTGGAGGGAAATGAAGGGGGGAATAGAACAACTGTAACAGCATAATCAATAAAAAAAATTAAAAAAAAGAAAAAAAAGAATTTGTTGTTAACAGACTTCCGAAAAGTTCAATTTTCTGTGTTCTGGCTGTGTTTTCTGCTGCTAATATTTAGTTGTCTCTAAACTTGGTTGTGTGAGAAAGCAAGTCGTCTCCACCTATGCCTCCATCTTGGCGGACGTCCCCAATAATTTTTTTATTGTCTCCACAGTTTTACCTTTTCCAGAATGTCAAAAAGTTGCATTCATACAGTCTGAAGACTTTTTGGATTGATTTCTTTCACTTTGTAACATGCACTTAATTTTCTTCCATGTCTCTTCATGGCTTAATAGCTCATTTCTTTCTTTCTTTTTTAAAAACATGGAATGCCTCATGAATTCACAAATTATCCCTGCGAAGGGGCTATGCTAATCTCCTCTGTATCCTTTGAATTTTAGTGCATAGGGTGTAGAAGCAAGCACACTAATTTCTTTTTAGTGCTGTGTCTAGATTCTTTCAGTTAACATTGTCTGAAAGATGAATCCAATGTTATGAAAGTAACAGAGTTTGTTCTTTTTTACTTGTATACCGTTCCATTGTATAAATATATCTATAATTATTTACCCTTTGTACTGTTGATGGACCTTTGGATAGTGTCTAGTATGATTTTTTTAAACTAAAAAAAATTATTGATTTGAGAGAGAGAGAGAAAGAGAGAAACATTGATTTGTTGTTCCACTTACTTATGCATTCACTGGTTGCTTCTTTTATGTGCTCTGACTGGAGATTGAAGCCACAACCTTGGCATATCAGGATGATGCTCTAACCAGTTGAGCTACCTGGCCAGAGTGAGACTCTCTTTTTAAGAGCATTTGAGGTTCACAATTATTTCTAGTTTTTGACTGTGAGAAATAATGCTACTATGACCATTCTTTTTATTATTTTTTATTTTTCTAAAAGATTTTATTTATTTATCTTTAGAGGGGAAGGGAAGGAGAGAGAGAGAGAAATATCAATGTATGGTTGCCTCTCGTGTGTCCCCTGCTGTGAACTGGCCTGCAATCCAGGCATGTGTCCTGACTGGGAATCAAACCACAATTGTCTGGGTCACAGGCCCGTGCTCAATCCACTGAGCTACACCAGCCAGGGCCATTCTTTTTAAATATATATATAAATTTCCTTCCTTCCTTCCTTCCTTCCTTCCTTCCTTCCTTCCTTCCTTCCTTCCTTCCTTCCTTCCTTCCTTTCTTAGAAAGAGAGAGATTGAGAAAGAGAGAAACACCAATGTGAGAGAGAAACATCCATAGGTTGCATTCTGTATGCATCCTGATGGGGGATCGAACATGCGTTGTAGACATGTGCTCTGACCAGGAACTGAACCCGCAACATTTCAGCCCTTATGGGAGGACACTCCGACCAATTGGGCCACACCAGCCAGAAATAATTATTGATTTTAGAGAGAGAGAGAGGTGAGACAGAGGCATTGGCCCACTATTTCACTTACCCATGCATCCATCAGTTGATTCTTGTATGTGCCCTGACTGGAAGTCAAATTCACAACCTTGGTGCATAGGGACAATGCTCCAACCAAGTGAGCTACCCAGCCGGGGCCAATAGTTTTAATTTTGATGTAATTTCAAACTTACAGAAATGTTGCAAGAAGAGTACAAAGAACTTCTGTATACTCTTTAACCATATTTAATAATTAACATTTTCTGTCTCTCTTTAGTAAATATAAAACATAATACATAATATATCATACCAAGGATTAGGGTTATGGGTCAGGGTTTTATGCATATGTATAAATATATATACATGTGTAAATTATAGTATATATAAACTTCTAAAGAATAAGGACATAATCTTAAATAACCCGTGTTAACTTTTCAAAATCAGGAAATTTACTGCTATCTAATCTATAGTATAGATGAAAATAATTTCAGTTTCCAATTGTCCCAATAATGTACAATATAGGAAACTTTTCCTTTTCAGTCCAAGATTGAGTCCAGGACTGAACTGGACTCATGCATTGTATTTAGTTGTCACTTTTCTTGATCCACTGAGCCATACCAGCCAGGGTATGCTTAATTTATTTTTTAGATTCAATTGTTGGTAGAGTTGATTTTTTGCTATTTTGTTGCTCATATATTTGATCTTTTTCTTAAATAAGTTCCTTTAACATTTCATGTATCAATGGTTTGGGGATGACGAACTCCTTTATTTTTTTCTTGTCTGGGAAGCTCTTTATTTGCCCTTCCATTCTAAATCATAGCTTTGCTGGGTAGAGCAATCTTGGCTGTAGGTCCTTGCTTTTTGTGATTTTGAATATTTCTTGCCAATCCCTTCTAGCCTGCAGTTTCTTTTGAGAAGTCAGCTGATGGTCATATGGGAACTCCCCTGTAGGTAACTAACTGCTTATCTCTTGCTGCTTTTAAGATTCTCTCTTTATCTTTAACCTTTGGCATTTTAATTATGATTTGCCTTGGAGTGGGCCTCTTTGCATCCATCTTGTTTGGGACTCTCTGTGCTTCCCAGACTTGCATATCTATTTCCTTCACCAAATTAGAGATTTTTTTCATTATTTTTTCAAACAATGATCCAATTTCTTGCTCTTTCTCTTCTCTTCCTGGCACCCCTATGATGCACATGTTGGACCCCTTGATGTTGTCCCAAAGGCAGCTTACACTATCCTCATTTTTTGGATCCTTTTTTATTCTTATTATTTTGATTGTTTGGAGTTTTTTGTTGTTGTTTGGGTTTTTTTTTTTTTGCTTCCTTATGTTCCAAATCATTGACTTCATTCTGTTTCATCCACTCTATTGTTATTTCCCTGCATATTGTTACTTATTTTAATTAATGTATCCTTCATTTCTGACTGAATCCTTTTTATGTTGCTGAGGTCCTCACTAAGTTCCTTGAGCATCGAGCATCCTTATAACCAGTGTTTTGAACTCTGCATCTAAAAGATTGCTTATCTCCATTTTGTTTAGCTTTTTTTCTGGAGTTTTGATCTGTTTTCTTTAGGGCCATGTTTCTTTGTCTCCTCATTTTGGCAGCTTCCCTGTATTTGTTTCTATGTATTAGGTAGAGCTGCTTTGACTCCGTGTCTTGGCAGTGTGTCCTAATGTAGTAGGTATCCTGGAGGGTCCAAGCCTACCCTTTCACCCAAGCTGGGTACTCGAGGTACACCATTTGTGTGGGCTGAGTATACTCTCCACTTGTAGTGGAGCCTTGGTTGCTGTTGGCAGATCAATGGGATGCATTTACCCAGGCCAGTCAGCTGCAAGGATTGGCTATGACCACTTACCAACAACCTTTGCCCTCTGTGGAAGACCAGCTATGCAGGGGCAGTGTGGTGGTGCTCCAATGTGGTCTGTAGCTATCCACTGGGTGTTCTGGCCCTGGGGTTTCCTGAGTGATGCAAACCAAGGTCAGCCCTCACCTGTGTTTTGCCTGAGGCCATCCTACCTGAACTATAAAGCAATCTGAGATGGCTGCTACTTGTGCTAGGCTTTGAGATTCCCACTTGAAGGCAAGCTGTGAATCTAAGCTGGTTGCTCAGCAGGCCAGATGTTGCTTGTTTGATGAGATTTAGAAAGTTGTGAAGCATGAGCCAAGACCAGCCATTCCTATGGAAAATCAGCTTGGGTGGGCCCCTAAATTGGGTGAAATGGAGTCTCTAGGGATCTCCAAGGCAGGTCAAACAGTGTTTGCCAGGTTGATGGTGTCTCAGATAAGGCACCAACTTGCCAGCTGTCGGGGGAGGGTTTAGAAAAGGGACAACGGGCCCTGGCTGGTGTGGCTCAATGGACTGAGCATCAGCCTGCAAACCAAAGGGTCGCTGATTGGATCCCCAGTCTGGGCGCATGCCTGGGTTTCAGCTGGGTCCCCAGTGTGGGGCATGTGAGAGGCAACCACATGTTGATGTTTCTCTCCTTCCCTTTCTCCCTGTTTTCCCCTCTCTCTAAAAATAAAAGTAAAATATTTTTTAAAGAAGAAAGAAAAGGAATTATGGCTTCTGCTTACCTTGATGCCAGACACTTCAGTTTCTCCCTGCAAGACACTGGTGTCTTTCAAGCAGCTACCTTGGTACAAGCTCAGAGGGAGTGATTCCAAGTAGGTGAGTCCATGTGTGGGTTCTTTTTTTAAAAAGATTTTATTTATTTATTTTTAGAGAGAGGGGAAGGGAAGGAGAGAGGGAGAGAAACATCAATGTGTGGTTGAGTCTTGCTCGCCCCCTACTGGGGACACGCCCCGCAACCCAGGCATGTGTTCTAGACTGGGAATCTAACAGGCAACTCCTCCCCTCACAGAGCTGTGTCCGATCCACTGAGCCACACCATCCAGGCCATGTGTGGGTTTTTTAAGAGGAACTGCTTGGGGACCCGCTGGTTTTTTGCGGCCAGAAGCCAGAACTTGTGGGGACTTGTTTTTGAGGGTTTTTTTCTTAAGATTTTGTTTATTTATTTTTAAAGAGGGGAAGGGAGGGAGAAAGAGGGGGAGAGAAAGATCGATGTGTAGCTGCCTCCCAAGTGCCCCATACTGGAAACCTGGCCTGCAACCCAGGCACGTGCCCCGAGTGGGAATTGAACAAGCGACCCCTTGGTTCTCAGGCCAGCACTCAACCCACTGTGCCACACGAGACAGGTGTTTTTAAGTTTTAATAGTTCTTATGTATTCCATATATTAAACCCGCATAGGACTTGCAAACATCTTCTCCCATTCTGTGGGATGTCTTTTAATCTTCTTGATGTACAAAAGCTTTTAATTTTAATAAAGTCCAGTTTATCTATTTTTTCTCTTGTTCATGTTTTTGTTGTCATAGCTAAGAATTCACTGCCAAACCCAAAGTCATGAAGGTTTACCCCTATATTTTCTTCTAAGAGTTTTGTGATTTTATCTCTGATGTTTAGGTTGTTGATCCATTTTGAGGTAGGGGGTCTAATTTCACTTTTGCATGTGGAAATCCAGTTGCCCCAGCACCATTTAAAGGGACTATTCTTTCCACTATTGAGTGAACTTGGTACCTTTTTCAAAAACTGATTGCCATAGATTCATTATCTTATTTCTGGACCCTCAACTCTATTCCATTGACCTATATGTCTACCTTTATGCTAGTAAAACAATGTTTTTATTATTGTAGTACGTTTTGAAATTGGGAAGTGTGAGTCATTGGACTTTGTTCCTTTTCAAGATTGACTATTCACGGCCCCTTCCAATGCCATGTGAATTTGTGGATCTTTTTTTATTTCTCAAAAAAAGCTGTTAGAATTTTGATATGAGGTACATTAAATCTGTAGATTACTTTGGGTGGTAGTGACATCTTAACAATATTGTCTTCCTAACCATAAACAATTTTTTCATTTGTTTAGTTCTTTCTTTTTTTGTCCTTTTTAATTTTTTTATTATTGTTCAATTACAGTTGTCCTCATTTTTCTTCCATTACTCTCCCCTGCCCGCTGTTTAGGTCTTCAATTTTTTTCA